CTAAATACCGCAATCGTATCTTAGAGATTAATAATACGAGAAAAGCACGTTGAGGGGATAATCCAGACAAGGAAACCCTCATATACACATCTCATACCATTAATTTCCAGATATGAATCACAAGCAAAGAATTACACTTAACATCTGAAATGTAAATACTCTCACTTAACCCCTAATTAAACAGAACCAGTACGTCGGGCGAAAAATCCAAACAAGGAACCCCTATGTATATACCATATATTCCGAATGATTATGAGCTAAGTGTTAATACCCACATTCTAGCGTTAAGTGTAAATACGACTATACTAATAACATGAACACAACAATACTATAATTCATCATTATACCTGCTCGAATAGGTGTGGGTAGTCACGACACATATCTTCCTCGCTCTCCCAAGAAGCTTCCTCAGCTCCTTTTTGGTACTACTGTACTTTAACTAACGGAATCATTTTATTTCCAAGTTTCTTGTCCTCCTTAGCAAGAATGCGAGCTGGAATCTCAATGGTGGTCAAATCCGCCTAAAGCTCTAAATCTAGCGTATCAATCACTCTTTGCTGCTCCTCGTCACGTAAGTGCTTCTTAAGCATTGAAACATGAAAGACATCGTGTACACCTGACATCGGTGCTGGAAGATCTAGCCGATATGAGACAGCTCTAACACATTTAACAATCCTAAAAATAAGATATCTTGGGATTGTATGTTAAGTCTATCGGGTTGAATAATAGACTATCGGGTTAAATAATAAGCCCAAAGGATTGTATGTTAAGTCTATTGGGTCGAATAATAAGTCTAATTTGTTGAATATTTAGTGTAATGGATTATATGTTAAGTCTAATTTGATTTATATTAAGTCCAGTATGATTTATGTTAAGTCCAATTTGGCTCATGTTAAGTACAATTCGGTTCATGTTAATTCTAATTCGGTTCACGTTAAGTCTAATTTGGCTCATGTTAAGTCCAATTTGATTTTGGTTTATGCTAAGTCCAATTTGATTTTGGTTTATGCTAAGTCCAATTTGGTTCATGTTAAGTTCAATTTAAATCATGTTAAGTCTAATTCAACTTGTATTAAATCTAATGTAAATCATATTATGTCTACTTCAACTTGTTTCAAATCTAAAAATATGTTGAATTAGACTTAACATGAATCATGTTAAGTTTAATTCAACTTATTTTAAGTCTAATTTCATATTAAGTCGTATTTGATTCATGTTAAGTTCAATTTGGTTCACGTTAAGTCCAATTCGGTTCATGTTAAGTCTAATTTAGTTCCTTTTAAATCTAATTCAACTTGTTTCAAGTCTAATTAAAGTGGACTTAACATTAAATTATATTTAAAACAGTTGAATTAGATTTAACATGATTTAAATTAGACTTAAAAGGAATTTAACATAATTGAAATTAGACTTAAAATGAATTAAATTAGACTTAACATGAATCAAATTGGACTTAACATAAAATTAGACTTAAAATAAGTTAAAATAGACTTAAATGATTCATGTTATGTCTAATTCAACTTGTTTTTAGACTTAAAACAAGTTGAATTAGACATAACATGATTTGAATTAGACTTAAAAGAAATTAAATTAGACTTAACATGAATCAAATTGAACTTAACATGAATCAAATTAGACTTAATGAATCAAATTTGACTTAATATGAAATTAGACTTAAAATAGTTGAATTAGACTTAACATGATTCATGGCATCATGTTAAGTCTAATTCAACTTGTTTTTAGACTTAAAACAAGTTGAATTAGACATAACATGATTTAAATTAGACTTGAAAGGAATTAAATTAGACTTAACATGAATTAAATTGGACTTGACATGAAATTAGACTTAAAACAAGTTGAATTAGACTTAGCATGATTTAAATTGGACTTCGATATAATATGAACCAAATTAGACTTAACATGAACTAAATTGGACTTAATATGGTTTAAATTGGACTTAACATGAACCGAATTAGACTTAGTATGAACCGAATTGGACTTAACATGAAATTAGAGTTTAAATAAGTTGAAATAGACTTAACATGATTCATGTTAAGCCTAATTCAACTTGTTTTTAAACTTAAAATAAGTTAAATTAGACATAACATGATTTAAAATAGACTTAAAAGGAATTAAATTGGACTTAACATGAATCAAACTGAACTTAACATGAATCAAATTGGACTTAATATGAAATTAGACTTAAAATAATTTGAATTAGACTTAACATGATTCATGCTAAGTCTAATCCAAATTAACTTGTTTTTAGACTAAAACAAGTTGAATTAGACATAACGTAGTTTAAATTAGACTTAAAAGGAATTAAATTAGACTTAACATGATTTAAATTAGACTTAACATGAAATTAGATTTAAAATAAGTTGAATTAGACTTAACATAATTTAAATTGGACTTAACATGAATCGAATTGGACTTAATATGAACCAAATTGGACTTAACATGAACCTAATTAGACATAACATGATTTAAATTGGATTTAATATGAACCAAATTAGACTTAACATGAACCAAATTAGACTTAAATGGACTTAACATGAACCGAATTGGACTTAACATATAATCCACACTTAATATGAACCAAATTAGACTTAACATAAAAATTAGACTTAATGTTTCACCTTAGATTTGAACTTAACATATTTAGCTGGCATTTCTTTAAATTTTCATCTTCTACGATGTTCAAATAGAAATTATGAATTTTATTAGACTTAACACACGAGCTCCTCTTCGTCCTCCTCCAACATCGTCTCCTCCGCCTCGTTCTTCGCCTTTAGTGTCGGAGACCAATATGTTGTTTGACGGATCCTCCAACGAGAACTTCGACGAATTCAAGGGTTTCGCCATTGCCATTGCCATTGCCGACCAAATTTGGGGGGAGAAAGAGAGAGCAGGGAAAATTAGTGGGAGCAAAAAAACGAATCATATTGAGTTTTTCTATGTAATATATAACCCCAGATCAACAATATGATCGGAGCGTGCACCTAAGTTCGGTGGTGGCAGAGGGGTATGTCAGTGTCTGAGAGAAAAAGGAGGAAGAGGGGGAGAGGACGAAGGAGATGTGTTAGAAAAGAGGAGGAATGAGGAGCCATGACTATTAAATTTAGAGAGACAAGAATGGAAGAGATGAGGGCATTTTTGGATTTTTTATTTTTTATTCTCTCTACGCTTACTTGGTAGGGAATAATTACTAAAAAAATGTTGCAGCACATAGATCTCCAATTTAAAGACTGCAGCAAATAAAAAAAAGTTAAAGGGACTACAGCACATAAATTTATTACTTTTGAGACGTTTACACAATTTTCCCCTAATTTTAAGGCTGTAGAGGGGAAAGCATGAAGTTTTTGCCATGCCTCTAATTACGTCGAAGTGCAACCGTCCGTAAAAATGAATTGTTTTCTATTAGGCCTACCTTATTTAAGCTCCCTTTACGCCTAGAGTTAGGATCAATTGATCATTTCCTGGCCTGCGAATCCGCTGTAACTTTGATTTCAAAGAATGTTTATAAGTGATCAATAATTTATCTTCAATCAGTGAACATCATAAATGATATTAATTAAAAAAAATCTAATAGTTACGAGGACCATAGAATAAACCATTACTTTTTTATTATTTAAGGGTCACCCCACAATGCATGACCTCAGGTATTGTGGAAAATTAAATTCATGTGGGCACTTTCCAGAAGAATTGAACCTCAGATCTTGTTACTACTCATTGACAGCTTATTAATTTAGCTAGACATTCTTATGTGATAAACCAGTACTATTGATCCAAATAAGTAGGGGTGAGCATGGTTCGGTCCAAACCGAAAAAACCGACCGAACCGACCGAAATTTAATGGTTCGGGTCGGTTTTATTTACAAGTCGGTTCGGGTCGGGTTGAAAAATTTTCAACCCGAACCGCCCGAACCGACCGAATTTAACGCTGCATTTTTAACCCGTAACACATACCCGACCTGACCCGTTGATGTTCACTTAAAACCCATCATACCTAAACCCTAACTCCCCTCCAAGTCTCCAACTACAGCCGCCAACCCACTTCGGCACTCCGCCTACCACGCTCCCCCTTCTCTCTCTCTACAATCCAATCTCACACACACTCTCTCCTCTCTTTCTCACCAACGCCAAGTGGTTCCTCACCAACGCCCCCGACGGCGAGATCCAGTACGTCGCCAAAGGTCTCTCCTCTTTCTTCAATTTTCTATTTTTTCATTTGCATTTTTTTTGGGGATTTTGTGGTATTTTTCGTCGGAAAACACTTCTGAGGAGAGGAATTCTTCATCACCCTCATAAAGTTTTTCATTTTTTCCCCTGGATATTTTTTTTTAAAAATTGGATAGATCTGATGTTGTTCGGTGTTATTTTGTTCAGTAGGTTGTTTGATTGCTGATGGCGTCGAAGAGGATTTTGAAGGAGTTGAAGGACTTGCAGAAGGATCCTCCAACCTCATGCAGTGCAGGTTTCCTGAATGTTTTTGTTTTTTCTTTCAATTTTATGGATTTCAGTATTATAGTTATCTTTATTCGATGAAATCCCTAATTTTTAATTTTAAAATTTTAGCAGTATTGGTATGATGCTAGTTTAGAAGTAGATTTGGGTTGAGTTCTTGATTTAAGGATGTTTTTGGGTAACAAAGTGATGTCCAAGGACGTATAGTGCTTCCAAATTTGAATTGTGCAAGGGACGTATAGTGCTTTATCTTCATGTATTGTACAGGGGAATCTTCATGAATATATTATCGACTTTTGTATTGTCTCCCAAGCTCCGGGGGTTCATTTGATATCTAGGACTTCTATTAATTGTTTAGAACCGAATAAACCGAACCGAACCGCACCGAACCGACTTGCAACGGTTCGGTTCGGTTTTGAATAATGGACGGTTCGGTTCGGTTTTTCAAAATTTGATAAAAACCGACCCGAACCGAACCGTGCTCAGCCCTACAAATAAGTACTTGTGTAGAGAATGTTTTCTCCATTTCTTAGTTGTACACAATAATGTAAAAGTTGATGGAATATTCTCTCAATTTCAATCGGCCTAGGGGCTGTTTTGTTGGTTTCCTAAAAACCAAGAAAAAGAAATCGGTACAAGGAAATCAATAAAATAATATTTTTATCAATTTCCATCCCTAAAACTCACCCACAACATCTAATAAAATATTATTTTTATCCTTCAACTCATCTCATTTCATCTCTTTTCTTACCTTTAAAAATAAAACAAACACAAGAAATGTGTCACATCATCCAACTCATCACATCTCATTTTTAAAAATCACACACATCATCCAATAATATTGTGACAACTCATTTCATCTCATTAAACATTACTTTCCATCCATTTCCTCAAAAAAAAACAAGAAATCAATTTCCTTAAGTACGTGTCACATCATCCAATAATATACCTCCAACTCATCTCATCTCATCTATTTTCTTATTTTTAAAAACGAACCAAACACAAACAACCTCAAAACATCATCCAATAATATACCTCCAATTCATTTCCTTATTTTTTTAACCAACCAAACAACCTCAAAATAAGTTTTTTTAAAAAATCACTCACATCATCCAATAATAAGGTGACAACTCATCTCATCTCATCTCCTATTCTATAATTTCCTTCTTTTTTAAGCCAACCAAACAACTTCAAAATCATTATAATAGGAAATAGGTTTCCTATTTTTTGATTTCCAGGTTTTTTTGGCCAAACGAACAGCCCCTAACTAGAAACACCAATTTCAAAACATAAAAAAGATCTAGTGGTCTAATTTCAAAATGTGAATTTTTTGAGGTCTTAACTTTCAAATTTTGAAAGATGTGAGGAACTAATAAAAAAACCCTAAATCTATATCTGTACTATTTATAAAAGAGGACTAGGGTATTGAGACTTTTGATTGCCTCTTTTACCCTTCCAAATTTTAATAAGTTCAAATAATGCCTTGAAATTTATTCAGTTCATTCTTTTATTACACTATAATTATTCATGCAATAAACATAAGAACTAATACTAAAAACTAAATATATGTTATAAACTTTAATCACATTCCTCAAATTTTATTCAATTCATTCTATTTATTATATTATAATTATTCTTGCAATAAACATAACAACTAATATATATCATAAATTTTAACCATGTTAGTCTTATGTTAAATAAGATAAATATTTCACTTTGGATATTAAGTATTATACAATAAATATACAATTTTAATATTTAAGATAATAATACTATACCTTATATTTATAAATTATATTATAATTTAAGATAATTTAATATTTAATTGAACATCTAACATCTAATCTAATACTATAATATATTAATATGTGCGTCTGATATATATAAAATTCGTGGAGAGGAATACTAATATAAAAAATGTTAACCTATTAGTGCACGTAGTCTAGAAATAGCATATAAAACTATCATAATATATATTACTTACTTATCATAATATTTAGATACGAGGTAATTTTGAGCATATAGAATTTCAAGCGATATGGGAAGCTATTACATTTGCTCTTGACACTGGATGTGCAAAAGTAATTTTCAAAGAAGATGTGGAAGTGGTAATTAGGGATATCCAAAATTGAGCGGAGCAACACTGAATTTTCAAACACTTAATTAGTGGATGATATTCAGCGATGTTGCACATGACTTGAGGAATGAGATTTTAGATAGTTCGTCAAACGAGGAATGTAACAGCTCATGTGTTGGTCGGTAAGGGCTAAGAAAATTTGAACTGGTTTTTGCGTATGGCTCACGAAGACCACACACGCCGGTTTTGCATAATATTTTGTAGTCTGATAAGGAGCAATATTTATCCACATTCCTTCGTTGTGCTTCTAGGTTATTAGTTTAGTTTGGATGTGTCTTAATATTTTTTTTCCATAAAAAAAATATTGCGATATAATATTTTGATCCTACTAACAAATTAATTTATAACATCTGCTCTTCTGAACCTACTAATAATGCATTGAATATGAATAGTAGTGAAGCATTCATGTGTTTTCTCTCACACACTAATCAAATTCTCTTAATTAATTATGCATTAATAGTTTCAGGACTAATCTACTTCCATAAACATTCCACTTGGATCTCAGTGTTGCATAAAATTAGATTATATATGGATGCTCAAATGCACAAAAGAAAACAATAAAAGAATCAAAAGAAAAAAAAAATAGAGGAAGTGAGAATTTTGATAGGTGACTCAATCCCTTGATTATAGTAACCAGAACGCCTCACAATCGACAAAATTCATAGGTGATAATTGAGAGAGAAGATTATATTGCTTTTCTTTAGAGGAAACGAACCGATCTAGAAATGAACCGATCTACGACCGAGTTCACCTCCCATTTTTGAAAAAAAAAACATCAATCTATTAGTTATACAAGTATGCAAATTCGTTGAGAGAAAAACTAATATAAATATTAATAAATTGTCGTTCGAATGTTTAGTCTCATATCATTACTTAATATGCATTACATGCAAAGCACGTTTACATACTAATATTATATAAATATGAAAGATGAAAGCATAGTTCTTTCTATCATCCTAGCAAAAAAGGAAGCATATTCTCCAAAATGCAAGGATGAATTATCTATTTTACTTTACTAGTATTTTTCCCGTGCATTGCACAAGGTTAGTATTTCAATATTCTTAGTCTCATAATATAGTAATACTATTCTTTTTTAAAAAAATTTACTTTTAGTCTGATAATGTTATTATAATTATGAATAGGGGTTTTTATACAAAATATAGTGTTTTTTTTAATACCAAAAGAATTTCAATTTTCACAAAACCAACATGAAAATATGTACCATCAGCAGACACCAAGTCAGATATCTTTTTTTATATATAGGATAAAATTTGCATTAAAAATCAAGCAATGTCCAAAGATGCCCGATTGGCTGCATAATCTGGAAAGTTAAATAATCAAATGCATATATTATGACGGGTTAATCCATTCTTTACTAAGTCATGGGGCTCACATATTGCCTTCACGTCGAGAATGAGAAAACTGCGCATAATCAAGACCATAGTTCTTCATATGAATTACTTCTAGCACATGATCATATCATATTATATCATATCATATCATATCATACTCCCTTTAAAAGAGGGAGTTATGGAAAAACTTTTTATAGACTATATTGTCCCTATTTTTTTTGATATTATATTCTAATCATAAATTAACTAAATTAATTATTATTATTAATTGATCATATTACATACCACTTTAGTTTTGTCTAATTAGCCCTAAAACTTCCAATGTTATTGTAAAACTCTCATATTAATTATTAATAATGCATTAATAGACAACTGCAAGTTAATATATTATTTTGGAAGGAGTAGAAAATATAGAATTGTCCTAAAATTATACCATGTCACTCACACAAGAAAATTATAAAGAGTATTCTTGCGTATATAAGTACAAACATGTAATTTTAGAAAACATTAGGATATTTAAGTGCATTATGATATAAATGGAGGTATATGAGTGTAACTTTCGTAAGCTGCAAGGTATTTAAATTTAATTAAGCCGATAAAGATTTGCAGCCTTTGTTAACCATAAGCAATAGTATGTGATCCCTTTGATAAACAATATTCATTGCATAATATGAGGACATGAGCTTAGCTTATATTTATATAATACAAAAGATGTGGAAAATTTTAACCATCATATTTTGAATAATCTCAAGATTCCTTTTTTTTTATATTATATTCTAATCATAAATTAACTAAATTAATTATCATTATTAATTAATCATATTACACGCCACTTCAATTTGTCTAACTTGGCTCTAAAACTTCCAATGTTATTGTAAAATTCTTATATTAATTATTAATAATGCATAATACTTTATTAATAGACAACTGCACATTAATAAATTATTTTGGAATGAGTAAAAAATATAGAATTGTCCTAAAATTATACCAGGGCACTCACACAAGAAAATTATAAAGAGTATTCTTGCGTATATAAGTATAAACATGTAAATTTAGAAAACATTAGGATATTTAAGTGCATTAAGATATAAGTGGAGGTATATGCGTGTAACTTTCGTAAGCTGTAAGGTATTTAAGTTTATTAAGTGCATTAAGATATAAGTGGAGGTATATGCGTGTAACTTTCGTAAGCTGTAAGGTATTTAAGTTTAATTAAGCCTATAAAGATTTGAAGCCTTTATATGCGTGTAACTTTCGTAAGCTGTAAGGTATTTAAGTTTAATTAAGCCTATAAAGATTTGAAGCCTTTGTTAACCACAAACAATAGTATGTGATTCCTTTGATAAATAATATTCATCATATAATATAAGGTCAGAGGCTTAGCTTATATTTATATAGTACAGAACATGTGGAAAATTTTAAGCATCATATTTTGTATAAGTCTCAATATTTTGAATTATAAATGAAATTATATACTTCGCTTAGAATCATACTCCCTTTAAAAAAGGAAGTTGTAGAAAA